TACGGTACCCAACAGAAAATAACTCAGTTTCCAGGAGTGAGGAACTGGCCGAGTGCCCTGGGGGTTTCTGGGTGGTGGCACCTACATGCTTCTATGTCACCACTGATCCAATCTGCAGTCAACTTTATCAATACAGATGCCATTTGGGGCATTAAAGGTATTCCTGGCTTGCCTGTGCCTCAGATCTCCGATCAAAGCAACAGAAAAGCAGAAGGCAAGGGAGTTGGCCTACACTGCACACAGTTCTAACACCACTAGGCCTTGAGACAGCTACTGCTTCCCCTCCCCTGCACACACTGCCACCTGGCTGGCCTTGCCCTTCACCAGCCGCAGGCAGGAGCAAAGATTCATCCAACGCAGAGATGCCTGTGCCTGCTGCCAGCCTGCGGGGCCCCAATCCAACCGGAGGTGGCCCGGTTCCACCACCTTAGTGCCCAGCTTGGAGGCTGGAGCACAGTGGCCTCTGCCCAGAGGTCAGGGCCTTGGCAGTGATCCCTCACACAGTCCCTGACCCTCCTTTCATCCCTCCTACCCTGAGCACAACAAGGAGGAGGGTGAAGGAGGAGTCACACAAGATGCTCCCAGAGTGGCATGCCGAGACTGCCGATGTGTGCCCAGAGCTGTTCTCTAAGTCAGTGGTCCAGGTGAGTTTCAGAGTCCAAGAGAAACTCTATGGAAATACATGCATTTCTCAGGGGAGTAGGTCCTTAACATTCACCAATATTGCAAAGGTTGAGAAGCAAGGCTTAAAAAGCAGCCCTGTCTATCTACAGCAGGGGTCCGCAAACTACGGCCCGCGGGCCACATGCGGCCCGCCGAAAACATTTATCTGGCCCGCTGGGTGTTTTTGCCGCCGCTGTGTGCATAGGAATTTGTTCCTAGGTTTTTTTTAAACTATAGTCCGGCCCTCCAATGGTCTGAGGGACAGTGAACTGGCCCCCTGTTTAAAAAGTTTGAGGACCCCTGATCTACAGTAAGAGTTACTGAGGTGCTTGTGGCTTAGATCCTTCCCACCATGGATATGTGAATGTTTCTGGGTGAAAGTCTACATGCAGAAGGTTCCAGTTATACTATCCTAGCACTGAATACACGGTGTCAGGATGTTCTACGTGCAAGGTAGGAAGATAAGAAGGGGACAGGATTTTACCCCCAGGGCCAAACCGTCTGGCACATGGAAGATGTTCAAAAGGTATCTTGTAAAATGATAAACTGTTATTACAAACCAGCTTTTGGAACACTTTGGGCTGAAATTACCTGTATTTGTTGTGTGTTTTTTAAAGTTCCCTGAACTAGCTTTGAGGAGCAGAAATCAGCTGCATCTCATGCATTCCAAGGTACTCGTTCTAAGTTAATTCTAGTAACAGACACAGACTGGACGCCAGGTGCCAGGTCGGTGCAGAGCCTCCACACACACACCTATCAATCTTGTGAGCTGGGCCCTGTTATTACACTTTTTATAGATGATGAAACTGAGACTTTGGGAGGTTAAGTAATTTGCCCAATGGCAACAGCCAGTAAGTCACCTGCAAAAATAATATGGAAAGCTACACAACCTAGAAATACCCCACAGTCTTTTATGCTCAACTCCCAATTATTAATTCAGTAGGAAATGAATGTTTAATTACAAAATTCAAAATGTTTTTCTTTGAAAGGAACTCATTTTTGGAATCAAAGAAATGCATAAAACTTTATTTGCAGAGTCACTGCAATCTCCTGCAAATTAACTATAATTCTAAGGGTAAAAAGACATAAGCAATAACATCAACTGACTATAAAGGTGTTAATCTAATGACATAAAACTGAAACTTAAAAAAAATCATTCTAAACAAACGATATTCAAGGCTCTGGCCACCCCGGCGCCTGCCTCTCTGTGTTCCTGTGGCTTGTCCTGGGGGAGTGATCCAGCCTGTCAGACTCCGCCTGCCTTTCCCGAAGCCTCCTGTTAGAGCCCACCTGTCCCTCTGGACTTGAGGTTTCCCAGTTGCCCTTGGGCAGGCCCAGCCCAGGAAAATACAAATTCCCTGTCAAGGGACAACCTTACTCACCTCTGCCTTCACCCTGGTGCCTAATCCTGCATATTAAACTTATTGGATATTCAACAACCACTGGGAGGACATTTCCTTCTCACCCAGAACAAAGAGGAATCCCAGCCTTTTCACTGAGAATCAACACACTTGGTGCGACACCAGCAAGAGCACCACTGGCCCTGGTCTGCCTCAGTGGCCCCTGGGCCTCACTCGGCCAACCATGTGAAGCATGAGGATCCTAGTCTGTATCCACACGAAAAGATATCTTTTCTCCCAGCAAGCCAACAAAGTTCTAAGCAACCTTCACTTTCACAGGTCCATCTTCTAGCATGTTCCCTCTATAGTAAAGGGCAATCAGTTTCCTTCCTTGTTTAATAATCTGTCCAGTGGTGGAATCAGAAGTGACTAATGTCGAAGAGAAGTCGGGCTCCTCTGATCTGAAACCCCAAAGTGACAATCCAATATCCCCTCTAGATCCCAGGCCCCATACTCACCAGAGCCCCCACATTTACCACCAGTCTACCTCCCACATACTCCCCTCCCTCTGTTACCCCAGAGGACCCCAGCTGCAGCTACCCATCCCCACCATGGCCTTAAGTGGCTTCAAAATTTCAAAGAGAAGATTCTGGTTGGTGGCATAAGTAAATATGCCAGTCATCTCTATCAGTCTTGCCTCAGGGTTCCCACAGGGACCCCCTATAGGTTTCCAGGATGAACCTGGGATAGGAAAACGCAAGGGGAGGGGTGGGGGCAGGAGCCTGCAAGCAGCTTCACCCTTCTACACTTCCTGAGATTCGTGCTACAGCCAGACTCTCCCTACTGCAGTGGAAGCAGCCCGAGTGGGTACCAGCCTCGACCAACTAGCAGAGGCCAGAAACAAGCGGGATGGCAACTTCCATCCTCTCACAGGAGAGTTTCTTGGTCCCTTTCTCCACAGAAAACAACATTTAAAACTGTGCCCTGAAAAACAGTGCCCCAAATGAAATGTACCAACCAGGCTGCTTCCTTCACAAGCCTCTCCTATTTATTGGGATTAGGAAATAAAATGCAGTTTAAGGCTTTTTCAAGTAACTGGCATGGGATGCAACACAAACTGTGTGAGCTGGTCCCCAGTTCCTGCAAAACGAGGCCCACTTAGACATCAATGGAGGGACTGGGCCCAGTTCAGTACAATCAACATTTGTCAACTGAGTGCAGCACTAGGTGGCCGGGTGAAACATGCCCTTCCTCGACTGGAACAGGCCCTTGGCAGCTAACAAGAATCTGGGGCCCCAGAGGAATACCCAAGAATCCAGTTCTCTGCTTCATCCTCCTCACAGTCCTTGTCATATGACAGATTAGGTTTACTTAAGGTTGTCTAACCTTCTTTTTTCTATGGTCACTCCTGGACATACAGTCCCCAAGGGAGGGCAGTAAGAACACAGGACAGCAGGTGACAGTTGCTTACTGGAACGGTGCTGAGAGTGGCTCGAGAGACAGACATGGCAGAGGTCGGTGGGGGAAACAAAGTCAAGGACGAGAGCTTGGGAAACCCCACTGCAAGACTCTCTAGGACAGTGATGGTGAACCTTTTGAGCTCGGCATGTCAGCATTTTGAAAAACCCTAACTTAACTCTGGTGCCGTGTCACATATAGAAATTTTTTGATATTTGCAACCATAGTAAAACAAAGACTTATATTTTTGATATTTATTTTATATATTTAAATGCCATTTAACAAAGAAAAAATCAACCAAAAAAATGAGTTCGCGTGTCACCTCTGACACGTGTGTCATAGGTTCACCATCACTGCTCTAGGAAGACCTACCCTGAAGCAGCCCAAGAGGAGGAGGCAACAAAGGGTCCTATCCTTGGTTCCTTTCTTTGCGCCTGTCTTTACTCGGGACAAGGTGGAACATGGAGAATAGAGGCTCCCCCGAAACTGCCAAGGGCAGCAACCCCCAGGCATGAATTACTTTAATCTGCATTTTTGGTCTGTCGAAATATGGCAGATCCACACAGGGCGGGGTGGAGTGGAGAGGGTAAATCGTGGTTCTCAAATTAAAAGCCTTTAGGTAGGTCTGCCCCTAGAGCCCTTTCTCTTTCCCCTGAGCTATCATGTTTTCTCCCAACATATTTTTCTGAAAACAGAGGGTTAATTATTTGTTTTCCCAAATGATTCACAATAGCACTCACTCCTTGGAACACTTAAGTCCACTTTTAAAAATTCAATTCACGTGCCATTTTCCAGGATTTCTGTATATTGTAAATGAGGTATATTGTGAAAGTTAAAGGCACCCTCCCAGAAAGCAGCTATTCTTCCAGGCCTGTCCCTTTGTCCTCCAAGGAAGAATCTGGAGGCCTGGGAGACGGGGCCAAATCTGCTGACCTAACTACTCCAAACACTGTCCTCCGAACACAAACTTCACACACACACACACACACACACACACACACACACACACACACACAAGCACATAAAGAGCACATTTCCAGTGCCCTTTAAAGCATATTTCAGGAAACAGAGGCATTTAAAAGGCCTTACCAGATTAAATGTCTGATTTACAAGAAGTATTGGCATATGCATCCTGAGATGTGGGCAGTCCTCAGACACCCCGCCTGCCCTCCACCAACTACATCCTCACACTCAGTGACCCTCCATGGACTCGGGGGTAGTGTGGGCATGGAGGGCAGGGGCCAGAGGTCGGGATGGGCTCAAGGGTCTGACCTGGCCACACACCTGGCCACATATTCTCAAAGACCCAGAATGCAGTGTCTGCATCTGCAATTAGCTCGTGCTTTAATTTGCTCAGACAACCTGTCAGTGCCCGCATTCTCCAGCCCTCGTGGAAGTATGCAGTCTGCTGGTACAGGGCTGAGGGCCATCAAAAGAAGGCAGACTGTCTGAGAGAAATTAAATGCTTACAACATGTCTTCTGATATGTACAGGATAGTGAGACCCCTGCAAAGAGACCTGGCCAGAATGCTGCCTCACCTCTGGAGTGTTCTTCTTGAACTCTCGGCTCTGCTCAATGAGCCGCTTTCTAGACTGCTCGCTTTCATCTTGCCGGTTTGCCAATACTGTTGCGGTGGCATCGAGTTCCCTCTGTCAAGAGAGACAAAAAAAAGGGAAGACAAGATTGTAATTGCAGTTTGTACCAGAGGGGATCATATTTGCATTTGACCAGAACACTGGGGACAGCCCCTGTGCTCCAGGGACTGTCAACTCGTCGACAGAGGCGGCGCTGGGGGCTGCGGACAAGGAAAGAGACACAATCACACGGTTCCCATCCAGCCCCATGCGCTAGTTTGAGAAAACCAAACTCGCTCAGCTTTGATGTGTATATTGACACCACCTCACAAATGACTGTTTCTATAATAGTGCATACAGATACTTTTTTTTCTTTTTGCTAAAACCAGAGTCAGGCCAATGCCCAAATGGCATCCCTCCCTGGAGTCACTCGCTTCTTCTGTTCTTAACAAGTGTTTCTTCTTGTCATGTCTCTGTGCTCTGTCCTTCGGATTCTCCCTGCGCTTCTCATCAGGGCATTCTGTTTGGCTGTCCTTCAACAGTGTGTGGATCCGGAATCTTTTGTAATGATGCTTCATTTGTTTTCATTCAACAAATATTTATTGTGGGGCTTACTACAGGCTAGACATCATTTAACCTGTTACTTGTTTTCAAGAGGGACTTTTATAAGGTAAATTCCAAGGTATTTCTAATATCTTATAAACATTCAGAATGAGGCTTATTGGTTATTCTCAAACTATTTCACTAGTACTGGGATTCTGAGAAGCACCAGGAATGGGTTCCCTATAAAAGGACCTGTTAAAGGCTAAGGGCTCTGGGCTCTGCTATACACAACAAACTGATACTCAAAGCAGCAAAGAACCTGTGCCCTGACCTCAGGAATTCTGGGAGCAGCCACCAAAAGGATCAGTTTCAAACAAGCCTACAGCAGATGGGCCCAAAAAGGTGTTCCTGGCTGACAGCAGGAGCTCAAGGACACGTTCCCATAGCCACCGAAAGGCCCATTTTAAAGACACACACTAGCACATTCTGCTTAGGATTAAAGTGGCTGTCCCAAGTGGCTTCTCAATGGTCCTGACTATTCCCCCCAGGCGCAGGCACAACAGAGCAAGGACCCCATCAAAGGCTGAAAGGCAAGTAAAATAAAAATGAAAATCCATCCAGAACCATCCAGGAAGCAGGCGAGAGTTTCTCCACCTTCCCTCCACCCACCTCATGAAGTTCCACCTGCTTTCCTTTTTGGTGGAAATACTGAAGTAGTCTGTAAGCCCTGCTGGTGAACACTTCACTCGTACCACTACGGGTGGGCCAGTGCCAGACGAGATGACAGAGTGCTGGAACAAACATCCAGTGTGCTGTCGACTTGGACACTGGACAGTTTAAAGGGGGGGGCGGGGACTGGAGGGGGAGAGAATACCACACCACACTCTTCCCTTTAGTGATTCTGGCATTACAGCAAATCTTGGGCAAACAAGTCCAAAAGAATAACGTGGGCTAGAATTCAAGAACAGATGTCAAAGCTACTGCAGCAAAGAGGGAAACACTGCACATTTTGATAGACCACATTTGAAACACATCCCAGTCAAGTGAAGGCAGAAAAAAAGAGCAACCGAAAGCAATGTGGTAATGTGGGGATGGAGATAGAGAAGAGAGAGCAATCGCAGATAAGCAGAAGGCTTTTCAAAAATATAAACAATCTGGTAAGGAGGAGGACTTAGACATCTATATTTAAGCAGCAGCAGCAGAAGTTATAAAGGGAGACTTCAAGAAGGGGGAAAGAAGCCAATATTGAAATATGACAAAAAAAAGTAAAGTTGATGTTTCGTTCCAATCACACACGGATGCAGAAAACTTAGAGGAAAACAAAGAGCCCTTGACTGCTTTCAACGAGGACCCTAGTTCCAGAGCTGGGGGGCAGAGGGCACAAAATCAGCCGTGTTTGGTGACTTCTGTGGCCTAATGCTGGATGCTGCAGGCTCACTAGAGGGAAGAGCTTGGAGACGGTGGGATTGGGGGTGGGGTGCTTTGGAAGGCATCAAAAGAGCACGTGATCTATGAGGCCCTCTGATCCCCAGGTTCCCCGCAAGCCCCCCAGGCAGATCCATTAGAGAGCCAGACTGAGAAAGGCTGAGCCTGGGACAGGTCGCTGGATGGAAGGCAAACCCATCTTTACCACCTGGCTGCAGGGCCAGCGAGCCTGAGGAGACCTGCTACTGGCAGTTGGGGACCCCCCAGGGGCCTGCCACACTCCCTTCCCCACCCGTGCAGACATATGCAGGTCCACATGAGAAACCAACGGGGGTCTCCAAATATAATACCGTGTTGCCACCCGCCACCAGGAAAACAGATTGGCACAGCGAGGAGAAAAGACCGAACATTCACAGATTGTGAGGGAGGGCAGCTGTCACCTCCCCAAGTTTGGTTGGTCAGATTTAAGCCTCGCAATCGTTACAATCTTTGATTGAATCCCTTGAGATAACACCACCGAACCCTTCTGAAGGACACCAAGGCTTTCCCAGGCTGTGGGGACAACACAAAGGGAGGAGATAGTTATTATACATAAGCCAAATACTGTTTTATTATCTACCCAGCCTGCCTACACTCAAAGTGTCAAATATAATGACACATTAACAAGGGGATTTAATGTGTTTAGGGGAGGTGGCCTAAAATACAGAACCCTCAGCCCTGAGTCACTGGTCACAAGTGAGATCGAACGTAGAGTCCCCACATCTGAAAGGCATTAAAAACTTACAAAGAGAAAAAACAAAAAACTGAAAACCAACCTAAATATCCAGCAATAGCAGACTGGCATATCTACTCAGGGTTATTCTGCAATGGTTAAAAAAGAAAAAATACAGCCCTACATGCACTATCTAAGATGAAGTGATCTTCAAGATATATTTAAGTGAAAAAAACAATGTGCGAAACAATGCTAACACTATTTAAGAGAGTCTCTATTCATATGCTTACATAAGTTTCAGCTATCTCTAGAAAGGTGCAGGAGACAATTGAAACTGTCCTTGGCTCTGAGGAGGCACCAGGGAGGAGGGACTTGCTCTTCAATATATATCTTTAGGCTATTTTGCCTTGTGCATGGATTACCTAATAGGAAAAACTGCAATATATCTTAATTTTTTAAAATCCTGCTAATGTGAAAAAAATACACATATAATTATAGAAACATATTTTACATAATGCACCCCATATATGAGTTCATGGTCTGCGGGTCCACCTGCCCAGGGTCGGCAATGGCCTCCTGACTCACTCCGGTGATGCAAAAAGTGAGGCAAGCACATCCTTTGTCAAAACAACAGCTGTTGCTTGCCCAACGCACTGCACACTGGCCAGTCTCAGGGCTTATGAATGAGGAGGAGGTGGCCAGACTTTCCAGAGGAAGGACAGAGGAGGTTGTCCCCTCAGAACTATTTAGAACTCTTTCTCCTGCTGGAAACACCAACAGTCCCAGATCTGAGGTGATGGGAAGCTGGCAGGGTTGGGAGCAAACCCACGGGCTCTGAACACAGAGGCCCTTCCAACTAGGCCGAAAGTGCCGGAGAAAGTCCTGGGAAAGGGTCTTGCAAGGACGGCACCCGGAGAAGCTGTGGGGTTTTCGTTCTAAGTGACCAAGAGATGGCTAATGTCAGGAGGCAACAATGTCCAGGGAAAGACTTCTGGCTGTGGAACCAAAGGTTCAGTGCATCTCACTCTATGAAACAAGGGTACTACCGAAGAGTTGTGGATGGCTGTAATCCTTTTTTCCTCTGGATTACAACTTCTGGCATGCTTTTTCTCCATTTCTGACTGATCTTAAAAGGACCAAACTCCTAACATTTTAAGTTTCTCTCTGCCTGAACCTCAGCCTCTCAGCCAAGGATTAAAGATTTATTAAACACAAACAATAAACAGCAACCACAAACCTGCCTATTTAAAAGAAACTGTGGGGGAAATATTTCCCAAATAAAACAAGTCCCGCTTTTGTGAGACTCTCTCTCTCTTCCTAGGCCCCAGGCCAGGCCTGTGGAGGAGGCCCCTGTCCCTGAGCACCCTGGGCTGACAGAGAAATCACCCAGCCAACTGCATCAGCAATGCAAGTATTGTCTTTTTATGGTCGCTAATTTTAAGCCAAAAAGTTCATCTGGTGTTTCTTTAGTGCCTACCTGTTAAACTAATCAAACAGCAAATCCTATGTGAGAATTTTAAATGGCTTTATTAGTGAAAACAAGGAATACTTGTGCAAAAAGGAAAATACCAACCGCAGTTTCTGTTTCTGCACCAGGTAGTCCTCATGACATTTTCTATTTCATTTCCAGCAACAGAATCATTTGGACAAATGGGAGCTGCTCTGACTAGAAAGGAGTGAAGGGCCCAAGCCCACCTAACATCGGCCTCCTCCTTGTCATACCCCTCCCCGGTCCCCTACACAGAATATCTCATAACCCTCAGACAGTGGCTTCAGAGAATCCTGGCTTGAAATCCAGGCTCCATCTCTGCTGTAACCTGTGTAGTTTTGGTCAAATAACATTCCCTCTCTGGAGATAATTACGATAATGCATGTCAAGTGCTCCATCAAGGTAACTTTTTCTGTACTATCAGAGCCATGCACTTATTTAGGCCTCAATTCATTCTGCCACCAGTATCCCCAATTAGGCTGGAGGCACCTGGGTTGCACAGATGAATTGGAACCTGACCCTGACCTGACCTCCAGGTACCCACAGTCCAGCTGAAGAAACTAGGCAGGCAAGGAAGAGTGACAAGACAGAGGGACCAGGCTGGTGGAACGAAAGCAGAAGCAGAGGTAGAAAAGGGAGAACATACTGCCAACAAGAAAGCTCTTCGAATTTTTGTGAAAGATGTCCATCTTGCCTTGGATCTGTGGGCGAGACTGGCTCAGTCCCCATCACCCTCCTCCTCCTCTTTATGTGGGCTCATTGAGTACCTGGCACAATACCTGGGGAGTAGGTGCTGTCATAGACCCAGAACAGGACTCAGAAGAACCAGGAGCCTGGTCAGGTCCCCCCAGGGGATGGGTAGGGATGGGGTAGGGGCACATGACAGGAAAGTGCCATCAGTAAGCA